TGGAAGAAGTGTGGAACTACCAGGACTCTTCGTAGAGCTGGGCACCCGGCCAAACTGAGCGATCGGAGGAGAAGGGCCTTAGTCAGGGAGGTGACCAAGAACCCGATGGTCACTCTGACAGAGCTCCAGCGTTTCTCTGTGGAGAGAGGAGAACCTTCCAGAAGAACAACCATCTGTGCAGCACTCCACCAATCAGGCCTGTATGGTCGAGTGGCCAGACGGAAGCCACTCCTCGGTAAAAGGCACATGACAGCCCGTCTGGAGTTTGCCAAAAGGCACCTGAAGGACTCTCAGACCATGAGAAACAAAATTGGATTGAACTCTTTGGCCTGAATGGCAAGCATCATGTCTGGTGGGAACCAGGCCCCGCTCACCACCTGGCCAATACCATCCCTGCAGTGAAGCATGGTGGTGGCAGCATCATGCTGTGGGGATGTTTTTCGGCGGCAGGAATTGGGAGGCTAGTCAGGATCAAGGGAATGATGAAAGCAGCAATGTACAGAGACATCCTTGATGAAAACCTGCTCATGAGCACTCTAGACCTCAGACTGGGGCGACGGTTCATCTTCCAACAGGACAACGACCCTAAGCACACAGCCAAGATAACAAAGGACTGGCTACGGGACAACTGTGTTTGACAGAATATGCTGTGTTTGATATTCTGCGCAACTGGAAGAAAACTGGAAGAACTGGAGCGCAACTGGAAGAAAACTAAACTAGAGGTATTTCGGATTTCGTGGAAAGAGAGCTCAATTGCTTACAGAGAGGCTTTAAAAGCTGCTAGATCTGCTTATTTTTCAAACCTATTAGAAGAAAATAAACATAATCCTGGGTATTTATTTGAAACAGTGGCTAAACTAACGAAAAAGAAAGCTTCAAGCTCAGAAGTGTCAAAGCAACACGGCAGTGACGACTTTATGAACTTCTTCACTTATAAGATTGATAATATCAGGGACAAAATTATAACTATGCAACCGTCTACCACAGTATCGCATCAGGAAGTGCATTGTAGTCTCCCTGAGGAAAAATTTGATTTATTTGTTGCTATAGGAGAGGAAGAATTCTGCAAACTCGTTAATTCATCTAAATCGACAACTTGTATGTTAGATCCTATACCGACTAAGCTACTGAAAGAGATGTTTCCAGAGGTCATATATCCTCTTCTTAATATCATTAATTCATCTTTGTCTCTAGGATACGTACCAAAAACCTTTAAACTGGCTATGATAAAACCGCTTGTTAAAAAACCACAACTTGATCCTACAGAATTAGTCAATTACAGGCCGATCTCGAATCTGCCTTTTCTGTCAAAGATATTAGAAAAAGCAGTATCTTCACAACTATGTTCCTTTCTAGAAAGAAATGATATCTGCGAGGATTTTCAGTCCGGATTTAGACCGTACCATAGCACTGAGACCGCTCTCATTAGAGTCACAAATGATTTGCTCTTATCATCCGATCGTGGTTGTATCTCTCTATTAGTGTTACTCGATCTTAGTGCTGCATTTGACACCATTGACCACAACATTCTTTTAAATAGACTAGAAAACTATGTTGGCATTAGTGGAATTGCATTAGCATGGTTTAAATCATACTTAACTGACCGTTATCAGTTTGTAGCAGTAAATGAAGAGATGTCTTATCGATCACAAGTTCAGTATGGCGTACCACAAGGCTCAGTACTAGGACCGCTGCTGTTCACTCTGTACATGCTACCATTAGGAGATATCATTAGGAAACATGGAGTTAGCTTTCACTGTTATGCCGATGATACTCAGCTGTATATTTCTTCAAAACCCAACGAAACTTACCAATTCACAAAATTAACGGAATGCATAGCTGATATAAAAAATTGGATGACTAGTAATTTCCTACTACTAAATTCTGAAAAGACAGAGATTCTAATTATTGGACAAAAAACTTCCACACGTAATAACCCAGAATACTGTCTAACACTTAATGGCTGCTCTGTCAAGTCTTCGTCGTCGGTTAGGAACCTGGGTGTGCTATTTGATACCAACCTTTCTTTTGAAAGCCACGTGTCTAGTATCTGTAAAACTGCATTTTTCCATCTTAAAAATATATCTAAATTACGCCATATGCTCTCATTGGGAAATGCGGAACAATTAGTCCATGCGTTCATGACCTCAAGGCTAGATTATTGTAATGCTCTACTGGGTGGTTGCCCTGCACGCTTAATAAACAAACTACAGCTAGTTCAAAACGCCGCAGCTCGAGTTCTTACCAGAACCAGGAAATATGACCATATTAGCCCGGTTCTGTCGACACTGCATTGGCTCCCTATTAAACATCGTATAAATTTTAAAATATTGTTGATTACCTACAAAGCACTAAATGGTTTAGCTCCGCAGTACTTGAGCGAGCTCTTAACGCATTATAGTCCTTCACGTCTATTGCGATCTCAAAATTCCGGCCAGTTGATAATACCTAGAATATCTAAATCGACTGCTGGCGGTAGATCCTTTTCCTTTTTAGCACCAAAACTTTGGAACAGTCTTCCTACCATTGTCCGGGAAGCAGACACACTCTGTCAGTTCAAAGCTAGACTAAAAACACATCTCTTTGACCTAGCATACACATAATACATTATAGACTTCTATAAATTCAATGTTAGGCTGCATAGATTAGGTCAGCCGGAACTGGGAACACTTCCCTTAAATCTTGATGTACTCGCTACATCATAAGAAGAATGGCATCTACGCTAATATTAGTGTCTTTGTTTATCCCGAGGTTTTCCCGCAGCCTGCCGGATCCAGGCCGTGTCCAGATCTGACGAAGGAGATTCGCCTGGACCCGATGACAATGCAGTGCTGAAGTATCCACTATCCTCTCCCTATGGAGGATCCCTTTCCCACTCTACAGATAAAGCGCTGTGAATTCCGGCTCGCGTACCCCGAAGTGATAAAATAAAACAAAATTCTGTATCAAAATTTATAGGCAAGAAAAGTAGTTTGTTTAGGCTGGGTTGTATGAATTACAAACCTGCGCACATATTTTAAAAAGCACATAACTATAGAATTCTGAATGAGCATGTGAACGCCGTCAGCGTTAATCACAGGTTCGCGTTTAAAGTCTGATCATTTCGACGGAGGTGAATCAAAGTTAACTTTAGCTGGAAGTAACATTATTCAAGAACCGCTATAACGCCAAAACAATCTGTTACCTTAAATTATATGTTTATCTCTGTAAAGCTGCTTTGAAACAATTCATTGTTAAAAGCGCTATATAAATGAAGATGACTTGACTTGACTTGACAACTCTGTGAATGTCCTTGAGTGGCCCAGCCAGAGCCTAGACTTGAACATCTCTGGAGAGATCTGAAAATGGCTGTGGTCCGACGCTTCCCATCCAACCTGATGGAGCTTGAGAGGTTCTGCAAAGAAGAATGGGAGAAGCTGTCACAGTGTCTGGTTTGTGTTTCCCCGGGTGTCACTAGTGGTCCTCGTTTTCACGGTGTCCTTCACATTGACTACAATTCCCAGCATTCTGTCTGTCACTTATCACTGTTCTTGAGCACTGTGTCGCCGATGTTGAGCCCCTCCGCAAAATACAGGAACTGGTAGGCAAGCTCTTACACACTGCTCTCCCCTTGCTGAAGCGAAATGATCTTGTCCAGTTTCTCCACCATCGAATAAGCGGAGGGGCAGGGAGATGGGAAAAGGAAGATCCCCATAGTTAGCTGAGTCCTCAGTTGGCTGGTTCGTTCTGTCACGGTATGGGTAGATTAAGGTGCGAGGACTCAAGTGCAAAACAATGGGTAATCCGTAAAGCGTAAATCCAGTCCAGGCAAAGGTTAAATACCGTGTAAACAATCCAAATACAAAAATAACAAAACACAAGGAACAATCAGGAACAGACCAAGAAGTGTCAGACATAACAACGACTCCGTAACACATACTGACACAGACATGGAATATATACACACAGATCTAACAAGACTAACAATGAACAGCTGGGACAATGATTACGGGGAACAGCTGAGTGTAATGAACAGTGATAAGTGACAGACAGAATGCTGGGAATTGTAGTCAATGTGAAGGACACCGTGAAAACGAGGACCTCTAGTGACACCCGGGGAAACACAAACCAGACACTGTGACAGAAACTGCCCGAAAATAGGTGTGCCAAGCTTGTAGCATCATACTCGAAAAGACTTGAGGCTGTAATTGGTGCCAAAGGTGATCAACAAAGTATTGAGCAAAGGCTGTGAATACTTATGTACTTATGTTTTTTGATTTTGAATAAATTTGCAAAGATTTCAAACAAATTTCTTTCACATTGTCATTATGGGCTATTGTTTGTACAATTTTAGGAAAATAATTAATTTAATCAATTTGGAATAAGGCTGTAACATAACAAAATGTGGAAAAAGTGATTCCAGATGCACTGTATATTATCAGTCATAAGTTTGGAATTATTTAGTTTTTTAATGTTTTGTTTTGTTTTTCCTCTTCTGCTCACCAAGGCTGCATTTATTTGATTTATTTGCAAAACTGCAACAATTTATGTACCTCTTGATGGAAATAAATGTTGTGATGTTATTTCCATCAGAAGGTGCATCAATATTCGGTCAAGATCTCGAATGCAAGAGTCCAGCACTCTGTAAAGTCTCCTCCAGCACATCCCAAAGACTTTTAATGAATTTAAGGTCTGGACTCAGAGGTGCCGATTCATGTGTGAAAATGATTCTTCATGCTCCTCACAACCATTCTTTTTCACAGTTTGAGCCGGATGAATCATTGTCCTCCTGGAATATGGCCATGATGTGTTTTCCTACATGGTTGTTTAAGAAATGAAAAGCTACACGCTATCAAATAGGGTTAAAAGAACTGCTGCCAAACATATAACGATAGAAACATAATCACCGCAGTAATGATCCAATCATAGACTCTTAAGCAGTTGCCTATTTAAATCTTTTTTTTTTTTTTTTTGGCCAGGCAGTTTATATATATCCAGCAGACTAAAGGACCCACACACACCTGATCTATGCCATCCAAAGGTCAGATGTTTGGATGGCGGTTTGGAGGAAATCCACAGCGAGAAGAGACTGATCAAAACGCTTCCAAAGTCAGTGAGAAGATGAGCAGCATCAGTCATGATAGCGAGACTGCGAGCAGCGTAACCACCTAGGAGAACACAGTAACACACACAGTCAACACAGTACCACACACAACCTGCTACAGGAGATGATAACATCTGTTACTATAGGCTATTCAAGCTTGATTGGTCTCAAATGCATCTTGAAGTAACAGTATGTCTTGTAATGTCAATTTTGTTGTCAACTCTCTGGGTTGTTTAAACTGTGCACGTCTTATAATTCTCACCAATGACTTCTCCGATCATGAAGATTAAGCACACAGCACATGTGATGAGTAACTTTCTCCGGGCCTGTGTTTTGTCCTGGTGCTTCAAGCTTGTGTCTTCCAGGCTGTGACAGTGAAAAGCTTGTGCGTCATGTTGACACTCAAATTGAGTGCTGAGGTATTCATCCTCTGAATGATCCAGCAGACTAGAGAAAAGAATCAAAACAGAATGAAGAAAGCGAGATCAAACACCTGTAATAAGAGCAGAACGGGTTTGAGAGACTTACCACAAAAGTTCAAGCGAGTCTGTCGAGGTCTTGTTCTGCTTGCTCAGCTGGACTTTCTCCAAATTCACCATGGAGGCCATTAACAAAAAATCCTGCAATAAAATCTCTAAAACTTTGATGTGAAACTTTAAGTTTCCAGTCAATTTAAAGCCATATGCCGTTCCACACACTGCTACTATAACATGCCGGAAAAGTTGGTGCCGTGAAACCATGTTTAGTTTTCACCAAGGTCACTTTCCAAAACTAGCGATAAAGTGAGATAAAGCTTTTGGAGGGTTTGGATGACAGATGTGTACATATAGCATTTTCACTGCTGTAAGAGCAAACTCACATGTACAAACTCACACTGAAAGCTTGAGTAGATAGAATAATCAACTATTTATTAATCTTTCATTATGAATCATAGAAATTAATATTGCAGCAGCAGTCATTTGCCAACAAGTAAAATTATAAACAAAAACATACATATACATACAGAATCTAAGACAAAACCATCCCTGAGTCTGTGCAATATTACCACAATGAAAACACCAACAAAATATTAATCTCTTTTATTATTAGCCGCTGCATGACAAAATTTCAGTGGTCCTTTGAACTGAGCGGGACAGTCCGTACCTGGACCCCTGCCCTATTGATCATATGGCATAATGTTCAACATTTATATACATTCATTTGAAACTTTTAAAAGATTGACATGTAAATGATCATGTATCATATTTCAAAGTTTGCTTGAAACAAAATAAACCACATAAAATTGTCTGTTAGATAAAATGTCAATGTTTATGTACATAAATGACTAATGGATTTATTGGTAACACTTTAAAATAAGGTTTCATTATTAACCTTAGATATTAACTAACATGAACTAACAATGAGCAAAATATTTGTTACAGGTTTTATTAATCTTTGTTAATAAAAATATAGCTGTTCGTCATGTTAGTTCACAGTGCATTAACTATGGAAGCTTGTTTCCGCCACAGAAAAAAAAAATTAAAAAGGTAATTGCGACTTTTTATCTCAGAATTACGTGATATAAAATCGCAATTGTGAGTTATAGAGTCAGAATCGTGAGATATAAACATCCAATTCTGAGGGAAAAAATCTTTTTTTTCCTAGAATTGGACTTTATCACACGCAATTATAAGTTTATATCTGACAATTCTGAGAAAAGATGTCAGAATTGCGAGATGTGAACTTCCAATTGTGAGATAAAAAGTCACAATTATCTTTAAAAATGTTTTATTCTGTGGCGGAAACAAGCTTCCATAATTAACTAATGTTAACAAAAACAACTTTTGATTTGAATAATGTACCGTAGTAAATGTTGAAATTAACATTAATTTAGATGAATAAATTCTGTAGAAGTATTGTTCATTCTTAATTCATGTTAACTAAAGTAGTTAATTAATGAAAACTTACTGTACTAAGAGTTACTGAATTATTCGTTATCACTGTATTAGAGCCTTAACGACTTCAACATTGTACATATACAATATTAGTAAAGGTTCCAAAGGCTTTATGTTTTTAATAATTATTGTGATGTACAGGACAGAAAGTGCATAAAATCGGTTCACACAGAGAGAGAAAAAATATCGAGAGATCAATAAATATTGTGTTGTTATAAAAACACCAGATTCTTATTTTATTAGATCAGGTAATTTGGCAACTTTTTTAGGCAAGCATGTATATGTTTGATTGTGCTCTAGAGATGTCATTTAAAGGGCTGCATCTGATCTGTGTGCCTCATCGAAGAAGCATTAGAAAAAGTGTCTTTGCAATAAAAATCAAGCAATTATAAAATGATGTAAACAGAAATAGCATTATGCGTGGAGATCGAACGATCCACATATACTGCACAGACACCGTGTGCAACACAAAGCCTTCCACTGAAACACATTTCAACAGCAGTGTCCTCGTTTCTAGGACGAGGAAAATCTTCAGGTTGTCATTTGCTGTGTGCTTCTGGAGCGATCAGTATAGCAGTGTCTCTATCTGCAGGAGAACACAAACTATCAGCATTTCACTGCAAAAAAACCCCTCAGAATCACAACTCTCTTGCCATTTTTGTTGCCAAAAAAGAACATTATCCAAACACCACACAGTATAGAACATGCTAATGCTAAATACTGATGCTGATATTCACCTGACTTTTCAGGAATGGGCATTCCTACAAACACAGGGTGTCCTGTTAAACAACACAAAAAAAGTAAGCTTTATTAAATAAGTAAGCTTTATTCTATGTTTGAGACAGCATAGAACTATTACACGAGAGAGCAAAATGTTCTTGTGTTCAGTCATAAGTGCAAAAAGGTAAACTAATATATGTATATATATATATATATATAAATTATAAACTATTTTAACTATTTTTATATACTACCGTTTAAAAGTTTGGGGTCAGAACAGTCTTTTAAATTTTGAGGAAATAGCAGGATATGTGTCAGATCTGCGTCATGTGCGTCAGCTTGTAAAGTGACAGCCGCCTAATAAACCTGCTGCTGTCTGTCATTAATGTTAATCAAATAACAAAAGACAAAGAGAAAATCACTCACTGCTCTTGACTGAATCACTTTTGTAGCTTTAATAAGGATTAATCTATATTTCATTTATAATTTATGCAGTGAAGACTGTGCAGTGTATATTTACATGTTAGACCTGCTTGGAAATATTAAAGCACTGTTTACAAGGTTACATGGGTCAAAACAACGGCATTTTAGCAGGGCAGATAAAAATCTGACTGGATCAGTAGAAAAAACCCTTAGCATTGACCCCTGCTATATTAAAGGCACAGCTAAATGTGACATTTATTACAATGGTTTTATGTGAAGATTGTTTTAGTTTACGTTTACTTAAATCAAAAGTTGTTATATTTTTAGCCTATTATTAAATGTTAAAAATGATAGCTTTCAATTTTACTGTGGATAAAATTGGCTAAAATACATTTAATGGAGACATCAGTATCAGTCAGAGTATCAGTGATTCATAGTGCTTAGCAAAAAGATGCTATATTAAACAAATATTTTAAATATACTGTCTTTGTGTTTTTTTTTTTACTTTATTTTGAAGATTCAATGTGAAATTGAGTATTACATCATAAAAATATATTCAAAACTTGTATGTTAGGTGTTATTAATCATGATTAATTACAGAAAAATGTCTGATTACTTCGTTTTGTTTTTTTAAATTGATTAAAAGCACTAATACATATATATATATATATATATATATATATATATTTATATACATACAGTGCTTAGCATAAGTGAACACACCCATGCTAAAGTTGACTAAAAATAGGAGATTGGCATGGGGTACTTTCCATAAGATCATCTTTCAATGCAAATCAAACCAGCTATTAGGCTAACTGAAATAAAACCATGCCGATCTCTACGTATGGTGAAGGGTGTGTGATGATGTGGGGCTATTTTAATTCCAAAGGCCAAGGGAACTTTATCAGGATGCGTAGTATCCTGGATCCATGAAATAACTGGATATTCTATATCCAGTATATTCTATGTGTCATTATTTGTGCTTGCTTGATGTAATCTGTTTATGTTCTTAATGTTGTCTGTATGTAATGTTTTTACAATTTTTCTAATAACAACCTGCCAGGGACTCCAGATGAAAATTAGTCTATACGGCTAAATCTGGCTCATTTACATTTGGACATTGTCCTTATGTTCATTAATGTGCATTGTCCCTTATTAAATAAACAAACAAACTGGGCTTTAAAAATAAAAATCTGCCTTCCTCTATGGGACTTTAACAGGGGTGTACTGACTTATGCCCCCTGTATTTTAAAGAAGTACATTTATTTATTTACGATACATTATTCATTCACAGAGAAAATTGGTGTCCTTAAAGGTTAGATTTTTCTTCATTTTTTTTTAATTAAGGCATTAAGATCAATTTCCAAAAGATGATTTTTTATTCCTCTTTTTAGTCAACTTTAGCATGGGTGTAGTGTGTGTATATTTATATATATATATATATATATATATATATATATATATATATATATATATATATATATCAAAGATGTATATATATATATATATATATATATATATATATATATATCAAAGATGTTTAACAAATACACAAAATGAATGAACAAGTTAAATATGCATCTGTTGGAAGAAAGAATAAATGTTCACCGGAATCTCCAGGCTCTGGACAGGGAATAGGCTGTCCTGTTATTACTGTGTCATTGCCTGTGAATCACAAGTTACATTGTGCAAGTTACAATGCGCTTTTCTTTAATAAAAAATGGTTCTTAATGAGTAAGTTCACCCAAAAATGAAAATTATCCCATAATTTACTCTCCCTCAAGCCATCCTAGGTGTATAATATGACTTTCTTCTTTCAGCCGAACACGAGCAGAGTTATATGTAATAATATCCTGGCTCTTCCAAGCTTTGTAATGGCATTGAATAGTGCCAGAGTTTGTGAAGCTCCAAAAAGCGCATCCATCCATCCATCATAAAATAATCCATACGGTTCCAGGGGGTTAATAAAGGCCTTCTGAAGTGAAGCGATGGGTTTTTTGTTAGAAAAATATATATATTTTAAACTTTGAAAACTATAATCCCTGGCTTCCGGTAACGGCCGTACGCGTGCTCATGAGAGTTGAGTTCTGGCGGAAGAGTGACCTCTGACACGACGTATGATGTAGCGAAAGCTTAGGTGAGAATAGACGCCTCTCGCGAAAACCATAACTCTCTCGTGAATGCGTGTACGGCCGTTGCCAGAAGCCAGTGATTATAGTTTATAAAGTTATAAATATGGATATTTTTTCTTACAACCATATTTTGCTTCACTTCAGAAGGCCTTTATTAACCCACTGGAGTCGTATGGGTTACTTTTATGATTACTTCAAAAACCCAGGCACTGTTCAATGCTAGTCATACCTAGGATGGCTTGAGGGAGAGTTAATAATGGGATCATTTTCCTTTTTGGGTGAACTATCCCTTTAAGCAGGCCCAAGATGGAAACTGGGAAACTCTGCAGTCTCCAAAGCTGAACACATGACTGCTCCTCACCTCTGTTCTCCTCCTCTGCCGCCAGCTCATCCGGATCCACATACTGAAAGTTTTCCTCGTGCTCTGAAGCGCCGCATTTTCCACAGCATAAACAACAGCAGCAGAGGCAGCAGCAGCACGTGAAGAGCATCCCTAACGCAAGGAGCGTCTGAACAAGGTCCAACAAAACAACAAAAAAAGGGGGATTATTATAGTGATCCTGTGCGGTCACCGTGATTTTGCCAAGTAAGACATGGTCCTGGATCAACATATTTTGTTGATCCTGGATCAACATTCCTGTCCCAAAAGGTAGTCCTTACCTAGCCTGGTTAAAACCAGACCATTCTCAGTTGTAACTGAGTTATGGTCTGGCAAAGCGTCATAGACAAATCATTTCCAGAGGGGCGTCACCAACGGACGTCGCGGATAGACCTAAAACCAATCAGAGCGATGAAGGAGATGACGTATGCAGAGCGGCGGAGAAACATCTCCGAGTGTTGTTTGCTCGGTTTTTAACTAAAAGTAAACGTTCAAATCGCTTAAAACAGACGCGATAGTTGATTCGAACGAGTGATGTTCGACGGCGGCATCCATCTTTGTAATGTAGGCTACAAAATCTGCTTCAAAATCCCAGCGCTGTCGTCATCGTGTAAAGCCCGCCCCAACGTTTCTGATTGGTGCCGCGATTTCGACGGATTAGAAATGGGCTTGAATGAGCTCTTTGCCAGACTAACTTTCAGAGCAAATCTAAATTTGCCGGAAGTTGTCTGGGTTTTCCCAGGCTCGTCCTTACCCAATCCCTACCCCTAAACCTAACCCTACCCATAACTTTCCCCTAAAATCAGAGGGTAATGAAAGGTGAATAACACTGATGTTAAAGTACTTTACCCTGGTTCTAAGCCTAAACTTGACATAAACTGTAAACTTGTCCCTCAAATCTGATTGGTTGATTGGAAAGTTGATCCAGGATCAACAAAGATGTTGATCCAGGAACATGTGGTACTTGGTGAAATCACGTTCACCGATCAGGTGCATGCAATGAGCTGTGTTATTTAAATGACTAAAAGCAAAGAACATAGACAGATTTGCATGCACACAAATGACTCGCCTTAAACCAGCACTTGTTCATGAGGAAGTAGTATTTAACGCTGTCCTCTCCGAACTGGTCTGCGACGTAGAGGCCCATGGAGCCGTACTTGTCGTAGATCTCTCTTTTGGTGTCGTCGTGGAGGATGGTGTTGGCATTGTTGATCTCTTTGAACTTCTCTGACGCTTCTGGGTTGTTGGGGTTCTTGTCTGGATGATACTTCAGCGCCAGTTTTCTTATAGTGAGGATTTATAAACACAAAGCCTTTCAGGGATGTTGCATTTATGATTTCCTGTACTGACATGAGTTATTCATCAAGCAATACCCTTTTCGATTAGCTAAACATATTTGGATTGTTTTCAATAATAATTCAACAAAAGAGTTGCATTATTTGAACAAACATACCGGTATGCTTTCTTAATATCGTCAGATGACGCTCCTTTCTCCAGGCCTAATGTCTTGTATAAACTCTCTCCAGCTCTGGACAGCTTGCGTTGAGGTCGGCTTGGATCTGCCATTGTTAAATTCTGCTAAAACAATCAAGATCAGAAGTGGTGTGAGTCATTTTTAGTTTTCCTTTTCTATTTACTCAAAATGACAGAAAAACAGGACAATGGCAATGTAAAACATATCTGAATGTCACTGTATTAGATATCAAAATATCAAACCAAGTGTCATTTATATTAAAAAACTAGGTTAACACTTTACAATAAGGTCCCATTAGTTAAAGGGATAGTTCACCCAAAATGTTTTATTCTGTCATTAATTACTGACCCTCATGTCGTTCCAAACCTGTAAGACTTTCCTTCATATTCAGAACACAAAAAAAGATCTTTTAACGAAATCTGAGAGCTTTCTGTCCCTCCATTGACAGCTATGCAACTACCACTTTGACCATTCAAAAGGTTCATAAAGAGATCGTAAAACTAATCCATATGAGCGGTTTAGTCCAAATTTTCCAAAGAGATACGATCGCTTTATATGATAAGCAGATTTAATTTAGGCTTTGTTGTATAATATCAAGAAAATGCAATTACCTGCCTCCTTGTTTATTGTAGATGCCTTTGTTACACATATTTAGCCAATGTATTGAATATAATGCATTGCATTCAATGTTCTTATTTATTTTTGTTTGTAAAAAATGGCTTATATTGTATGGACATGTACAGTAATTGTCCGTTATGTATATTTGTGTGTGCCTACCCATGAGAAAGAGGAGCAGAAGTGTAAGCGATTATGTTTGTGCTCAAGGACACAAAGAACTGTGGTTCTACTCCTAGAACCTTAAAGGAAAAATCAGCCATCTTGGTTGAGTTTACCGGAGTTCAAGGACATGAAGAGGTGGTGGACAAACCTTGTTGGTTCTTGCTGAAGCTCAAACGTGCTGCGTAACACAAGAATGAACCTCATTGGTTCTCGCACGTCAAGCGAACATGCTTGAGCCTCCATTTACCACAACTAATGTGTAAGTTGATGAATGTTTATAGGAATAAAAGCCTAAATTAAATCTGTTCATCATTTAAAGCGAATGAGTCTCTTCAGAAAATGTGGACCAAACCGCTCAATTCATATGGAAACGTTTTTACAATCTCTTTAAGAACTTTTTGAAGCATCAAAGTGGAAACGCTGTCAATTGAGGGACAGAAAGCTCTCAGATTTCATCAAAAAGATCTTCATTTGTGTTCCGAAGATTAACAAAAGTCTTACGGGTTTGAAACGACATGAAGGGGAGTAATTAATAACAGAATTTTCATTTTTAGGTTAATTATCCCTTTAACATTATTTAATGTGTTAACTACAATTAGCTTGTAAGATAAATTGGTTTCAGTTTCTTTTTCTATTCATGTTCACTTTCTTTGCACCAAAAATTTGGTTCATGTGAGCTCAGGTCCATTAAATAGGATCATTTTAACAGATACAACTTTTAAATATAATAATGTATTAGTAGATGAAATAAAGAGATTAAATGCTTTAAAAGTATTTTACATTGTTAGTTCATGTTAACAAATAGAATCTTATTGTAAAGTGCTACCAAACATAGCACAAGCACACTTTGTATGATTGGATTACACCTGTGCGAGCTTGAAGAAATGACTTCACAAAAATCACCAACGCCCAATCATTCGAAGGAAGACGCAAAAGTAAAAATGACATGCATACAAGTGGGCGAGTGTTTATATATATTTATATATTTTTTAAATACAAGAAAGCACGTAACATTTCACTAGCATTTATTAAGAGATTAAAATATTCACAAGGTTAGCATTCCTCACCAGAAAGACTCATAGTGAATCTGCCGATAGCTGTATTTCCGCAAACAACATTACCTCGACTAGCTATATTTCCATTTTCAGCTCATTTACGCTTATTTGAGCTCAGGCCTGTAGGAGATCATAACTTGACTGAAATCATTATACCGATTCATGAAATCGATCACTTACCGTTTAAGAAGAAAAGCTGAAGCTGATGTTTGATAAAGTTGCGTGTGTATTCATTTCTGAATATATTTACAGCGTTTTTACATAAAGTTGATCCATTGATCATGAGCAGCAGAGTTTACTTTAGACCAGGAAGTAGGAAATAAAGTTTCTCTTACGTCAAAGTGCGAAAACTCATTGCCAGAGAGCAGCCGCGAACTAGTGAAAACAGGCTGTGTGTGTGTGTGTGTCTGTGAAATCCAGCGCACCAGTAAGAAAAACACAAGTATTTACCGGTAAGTAACGTCAGCTACAATTCCAGTAGGACATATGTATCTGGGTTGTTGACAAATAACACAAACTGTCTTTTTATTTTAACATTACATTTTGTAGTAGTAAAAATATATGTGAATGAATAATGGACAGTATATAGGGCCTATACGATTTAACGTCCAAATATTCCATTCCATTATTAATATGAGATAATGCATAGTAATTATTCAAAGATTTATGAAAATGTTGCTTGATGTCAACTATGCTTTTTAGAGATCACATAGTCTGTTATCATTACATAATAAGCCCCATAATAAAAAATAAAAAAACAATAAGCAATCCACATTATTTTAAAATATGAATATTTAATTAAAAGTTCAAGTTTTTGTGGTTGTAAAAAAATAGTGACAAATCCTTCCCTCACAGGTTAATTTGACCCCCATAAGAATGAATGGGAAATGGGGATTTTTTTTTTGTCCATTAAAAAATAAAATACAAAATCTGGCACAATCCAGAACAAACAAGTGCAAAATAAATAGTGAATTTATAACAGCATTTTTCTTATTCTGAATGAAAATCCGCATATTCAAATAAAAATTCTTCAAAGATTTACTTTTGTTTTTAACTTTTCCCCCTGCTGTCCACCTTTGTTGCCAAATCTGACACTTCCGTATAAATACAAACCTAAAAAATGCTCAAAATGAAAAGAAAAGTGCTCAAATATTTCCAAAAAAATGATTTTGTAATGTCTAAATATATATACCTGAATGCCTACTGAAGCAAACTGACTTTAAACGGGATCCAGGGGAACAGTTCATTTGCTCCATAGAGCAATAAGGCCATCTAGTGGTAAGAGTCATTTGATGTCATGTGATCAAGGTCGGCAGAGACACCCAATGTGAGATTTCTTTGCTGATTTAACAGTCATTTTGTGATTTAGTGAAATAATGTGCTTAATTATATTAAAATTATTGATAAAATCTAGTAATTTAGAGGAAAATAAAAATATATATATATTGTTTTGGTCCAGAAAGCTCGTTAGTATATGTTTAGGGCTTCGGGTCATTCTGACCCACGAGGGCAGGATTTGTTGCAGGTACAAGAGGAGAGGATGAGGGTTAAGGAAATAAATCAAAATGGAATAACAGATATTAGGAAGATTCAAACCTCTTACAACATTCGATCTCATTAATCTTATATAGGAACTTTCCAATATTTAACATTGACGGCAGTTTTCTAAGTGGTCATAAATCAAATCTGCTGATTGTTGCTCTATGAAAACGCATAGATGTTATTCTCAATGCCGCTGCACGGGGGCTGATCAGGTGATGCTACTGACTGTATTCCATAATAATACTGTGATCAAAAAGTTCCAATTTTGATAATGATTTTCCCAATATTCTTGTTGGCCTCCATGTGTTGATGAGCCATTTCAACATCTTCCATGTTGAACATGCTGTCAATCACAGGCCACAGAGAAGGATCTGTCGACTGGAAGTGTGGCAAAACCTGCTCGCTGAAACTCCTGACCAGCTCTGCTTTATACTAGAAATAAAGACACAATCACTCATACAAAGCGTATAACCTTAAACGCTTCAAACTGAGCATTATACATCATTAAAGGAGTTAAAACAGGCCAAAATTAACAGCATTATGGGTTGGAGTGACATGAGGTTTGAATAAATAATGACAGAATGGCCTCAGACCATTTTGGGGTGAACTATTTAGTCTACATCAATTTATCAATAAAAACTGTTTCCTTTTGGATACATTCTGGAAAAATTCCTCTTACCTCTAAACTTCTGTTTCGGAGGAGACTGCAAAGCAGATGCCCTCTTTTCCTCAAAAGCTTGCCAAACAAGTCTCCGCCTGCTGTTTTACCTCCCAATGCACCATAAAGCACCCATCGTCCATCCATCGCAAGGCTACAAATGTTCTTCTCCCAAAAAGATCCACCAATGCAGTCCAGAATCACATCGGCTCCCTTACCTAAACGAAAATTACACAATTCATTTCAGTGCATTCATTGCAACATTTAACAAAGATATTTAGTGTACTAAAATGATCGACCTTCAGTGAATTGCAGCACTTTTTCTGAGAAATCCTCCTCTTTGTAATTGATTCCCACAGCTGCTCCAAGCTGCTCTGCAAATGTTAACTTTTCAGGGCTGCCTGTTGTTACGACTGGAATGGCACGACATAAGCGAACCAGCTGAACCGCAGCGGTGCCGACTCCACTCGCTCCAGCATGAATCAACACCGTCTCATTCGGCTTCACTTTGGCTAAAAAAAGGCAGCATATGGGAATGTAGTGGGCATAAAAAGCATTCATAAGCTGACATTGTTACCTATGAAGTGCAGAAGTTGGTAGGCAGTCACCCAGGCCTCAGGTAGAGCTGCGGCTTGATGAAGATTGAGGTTTGACGGGACAGGCATGATGAGTTCTTCTGGAACAGCTACATATTCTGCATAGCCGCCTCCTCCGAGTAAAGCCATTACTTTACTTCCCAGCATCCAGTTCCCCTTGACCCCAGGACCGATGTCAGCGATCACCCCGCTGGCCTCCAGTCCCAAGATTTCACTCTCTCCGGGGGGAGGTGGGTAAAGACCTTTTTTCTGACAATTAAAATGAGCCATCAATGCGGTTGAATTTGACCAGGACACAAACTTCGGCAGGATTTGTGGTTCACCTGTAGAAGATCAGCTCTGTTTAAAGCGGTAGCGGAGACTCTGATGAGGAGCTGCCCATCTTTGGGTTCAGGCCGAGGAACATGTTTCACACCCAGTTTCCCAGCTTTATCAACACAAACTGCCTGCATTGACTCGAAAATAAGAAGAAATACAAGCTGTTTATCATGCTTTTTTATTTGATTTTTGATGTCTATTTTTTAAACATTATTTTATTCTTTCATTTTGTTTGGTTATACTTGGTTATCATTTTATTATACTGTGGCAATATACAAAGTTTATTATGCCAATACAGCAATATGATTGTGAATACAAAACAACAAGGGGGGGGGGGGGGGGGGGGGGGGGTTGAAGAAAGACCATTTGAACAACTTTAAAACACTCTGGAGATCACTCTTAAATTTTCACTTACTGTTTTCTCTTCGGACATTTGTTGCCTTGCGATCTAACAGCACAAACAGGATATCAGCCTTTCTTATAATTTTAAGGCCTAAAATTAAAAACACAAACGTGAATTCAAAGTGAAGCTTTATATCACACACAACACTATTACACACGATTGACTTTTATTTACACCAGTCTGATTTTCTGCGCAATTTCGACGCACATATGAACTATATAAACTATTCTGTGCGTAACAGTGCGTTGACGAAAACAAAATCTACAGCACTGATCAATCATAATATACATATATCACTGCAATAGCTTGTTTTTGTAGTGAATTCACAAATTATGACATAACATCGACTTTAATCTCTGTGTTGTCTGACATTAATAGTTTAAACAGCTCACCTTTACATTTACTGTGGAAGAAAACAGCGACAAACTAAAATTTAAGCTTTTTTTTTTTTTATTACACTTACTTCATAAAAGTACTCCTTTAAATCGCTGTTTTTATTGTGAATGTAGTTGATTGGACGTTGGCATAGACAGTAAGGGACGTACGGTCTGAACTGAACATAAAACTGTCGTAAAATCCTAGTACCTCCCATATTTAAAAATTCTATGGCAACCATAGTTCAGCCGAAAATACCAGTTAGCATACTATAGTGAAACTATTCTAACGAACCACGTTCTAAAAGAACAAAATATTCTGTAAGCGTCTTTGAGACGGTTTGAAGGAGATTCCAAATTAATTTACGTGTCTGTGGTAATGGTAATGCTATTCTTCAGTAGCAATAACCGAAGTATATGGTATTTTAGTGTATACTATAGTTACTATGGAACATTATAAGAGTAAATGTATATGTATCTCAAAATATACATAATGAAAGGCTTAAAGTGATTCTGTCATTCTCTTCACTTCAAAAGATATTTTGAAGGACGTGGGGCCCATCAATTGTTTGGTTACCCATTGACTTCTACAGTATGGGGGGAAAAACAATACTGCAGGTATCCTCATATGACTTTACTGTAAGTCAATGAGGTTCATCAACTGTTTGGTTACCCATATTCTTCAAAATATCTTCTTTTGTGTTCAGCATAAAAAAGAAATTCATACAGTAAACGATGACAGAATTTTCATTTTTGGATGAACTATCCCCTTTAAACTATATGATCTGTAGGTATCTCAGAAACACTTCAATTGTAGGCTGAACTGAGGTAGATTTTAATATTATGAATACCAAAAAGTTGCCTAATTTACAGAAATAGTCAAAATAAGTTAATATTATTTAATACTATATCATTTTACAATACTCTTTCCATTCTCCAGAGTGCTTATTTTCATCCCTCTATTTAATCCTCACATAAAAAAAAAATACAATAATTCGTATAAAAAAAAAAAATAGAACTGACATGTGTACTGTTGTAGTATACACAAATTAGTCTTAGTCTACTGAAACATGAAATCTTGTTTATAATCCCTTTTCAGAAAAGTCTTAAATATAGATAAAGGCCTGAATTGACTGAAGAGTCCAATCTTCCAGCTTTACATTGTCATTATCAACACAATAGTGGTCATGCGACCCGTGACTTTGAAATTCAAAACTCTGAAACCTGACAGAAGAAAAGACATGTTATGTTTAAGTGTCATAGCAGCAGATACGGGCTCATACGAGACTAGAAAACATATGCAGCAGTTTCAGGTACAGTAAACTTGCATTTATTATGTATATACAATGTCCATACACATACATATTTTCATAAAATAAGTTAGCCTTCGAGCAATCATTGTGGTTTAAAAGCTTGAAGCTTCTGAGACATTTGTGTGTGTTTGTAAAATATATTCGGCTTGGAACAATCTGCATGTGTGTGCTTAACCAAAACAAAATGGGTGTGCGTTCGATTTACAGTATTTGTTTCAAGAAACATCTCAAAATGACAACACAGCCAAGGATTAAGAAACCCAAGTCTTTCATTTACATGGACGTAAGACTGCTGAACCACAAAGAGGACGTCTATCTTCAGAGGAAACTACACAACATCAGCACCAGACACAGAATCAACCTCAGACTGCTGGAGCAGGAACGACAGATCGCGCTGAAAGAGCACAAACGGCTGCTGCAATTAAAGGTTTGCGAACCGTACGCGACAATAAACAACACGATGAGGACCATATCAGAGGTCAGGATGGCAAACGACGCACGCGAGACCCGATTCTCAAAATCTGCCCCAGCATTCAGAGCTTTATCCTCTATTCAAACCTTTGAGGATGATAACCAACAGAGGTTTGCTAAATCAGCATCATTTTGGGTCAAGCAAGATGATTCATCTCCATTCACAGAGAGATTCAAAGCGTCGGAGAATGGTCAGCTATCTATTCTACAGCTGAAAAACCTGGCGCTGATCGACAGCATCTCCCAGAGAGAGCTGATGTATCGGGAAGAGTGTTACCGAGGGTATAAAGAAAGACTGAAACAACTGGAGAGAGAAAAACTACGACAGAAAATAAGGAGCTTTCTCAACACTATAGAACACATTTAACATCATGTGCTTGTGAGTATGGTTGTCAGATGAATCTTTATTTGTACTAAAGGACATTTTTAACGTATAGATCATTCTAAATAGTTGTTTGTTTCCTCATCTGCATGCTAATCTACCTCTGAGGCATCTCTCTGTTATATGAGCCCATTGATAGAACTGTTGGGTTTTTAACTGCACTATCACAGAACATTATTTACATGAAATGAATTGATTTCCTTAAGCAATGCTTCCCATCCTCCTCATGGTCAGGAGAGCCGTATGAGCTGGAGACTCCAGGAGCAGCGACTGGTTTTTCTTCCAATGTGGAGACTCCGAAATGGTTTTATCTACAAAAATGAAAGCAAATATACACAAAATTAATGTAATCTCAGTGCCTTTTCTTTTTTCAAATCTTTAAATAAAGAAAGTGCATGCTTTGGATTAAACTATGTGTCCGCCCTTATTGCCAAATGAACGTAAGAGCACATACATTTACTCTAAAACAACTTCATAATCTGATAAGCACTTCACATAATCTGAAAATAGCAGATAAAAATGTTTTATAATCTCACACTTCATCCCAGCCCACGTAAGAATAATATCCATTCAATGTTTAACAGTCCCTGAGTGATTTTACTGAAAATCGTTTCACATTAAAGAGGTAGTCCCTCCATTGAAAGTCCAGGTAACAGGCAAAGTTGTGAAAGTGGTTTATTCCAAGTCTTTTTAAGAGATATGATTACTTTATATGATGGACAGATTTCATCTAAACAATGATCGACACACATACATATAGCACATCATATATGGTAAAGACGTGTGTGATGCATGAGAACCGATGAGGTTTGTTTGTTCTAGCACGTGATGCACACGTGAGTTTCCATGTACCATATGTTATGTGCTATATGCATGTGTGTTTATATGAGAATAAAAGCATTAGCAAATCTGAACATCATATGAAGCGATTGTGTCTCTTCACAAGCCTTGGATTAAACCGCTTGACTCATTTCACAATGCTTTATGATCTTCTAAGTTTTGGTTACCTGAACCTTCAATGGAGAGTGAACTGTCCCTTTAAATAATTCATATTAACATGTTCTGTTAAATTTGCATCTATTTTTATCCAAAGTGACTTATATCACATATATCACACAAGCATTTTTTTGTCAGTTCATGCATTCCTTGGAAATCGAACACATGACCATGGCGTTGCTAGTGTCATGCTCTACTGTTTGAGCTACAGGAATGTTCTCTTCCAAGCGAGAAATCATAAGCATGGGTCAAGCTTAGCCCGGGTCAATTAAATTGCGATTTGCCGTACCTTCACTCTCAATGCTGACACGTGTTGGGAGACATTGTGTGAGATCTCCATACTCCAGTGTGCACAGAACAGCTTTGGGAGTCTCTCCTTGTTCTGTACACATGAGCACGAGAATATTGCACAGCTGATTGCTCTCCATCACCTCCACCGAACCAACGAGTTCCTGTGGCAAAGATAGGAGAGAATGCAAGATGCATTAAATTGATCAAAAAGATTTACAAAAGATTTACAATTCAAATAAATGCTGTTCTTTTGAACTTTCATTTAATAAAAAAAACTGTATCACCATTTCTACAAAAATATTCAGCATGTAAGTCACCAAAACTGACAATTCTTGTTTTTTATGGAATCTTTATTTTTTTTATAAATGATTTATCCATGCATATCACAATTTAAAATTCATATGCCCTCATAATCCTTCATCAAAATAACTTCCCTTCCCTCTTGCAGTGATATCTCTTCTCTGACTCGAAGGCGGGACAACCTGTCACTCACAGAGATCCACCAATAGCAAACCACAACCATCCAATCAATTCCAGATGGACAAAGTCAAGTCCCGCCCTACATTTTTATTGTTAGAGAAGCCGTTTCACGCGTATATACTTCACATCAGGGAAGCAGCAAATCATCATATTAGAATGGCAAATTCAGCTTTGCGTCACAGGAATAAATTACATTCTAAAATATATGTTAAAATAGAAAACATTATTGTTTTTACTGTATGTTGATTAAATAAATGTAGCCTTGGTGAGCATAAGAGAGCATGTACTTTATTCCTGTGAATGATATATATTAGGGGTGTAACGATACACGTATTCGTATTGAACCGTTCGGTACGAGGCTTTCGGTTCGGTTTTCGGTACGCATTTTTGAACCGAACTGTTGGACCATTTTTCCTGCCGACCAAAATTTCGTAATTTCAAATGTAGGCGCGTGGCAAGCGCGCTCATAATGTAAGAGACGCTGGCGTGAGTGACCACAACATTTCCCAACATCAAATGGCAAATGTAATGTAAGCGGAACGAAACTGAGCCACTCGTTATTGTGTGGTTGACGGACCGTTTATCAGTTTGGACCAATGCAGCGCGAGCCGATCTTAATCTTCAGCACTGTTACTACACAGCGATATCCAGTAAAGAAAGCATTTGACATCGGCGCTGGGAGATATAGTGAGAAACATTCACATTTCTCCGTTATTAACGGGTCAAACAGCGCTGACGTGGAAACCAGGAAGAAACATTGTGCCATGAATGAACCATTCAGTGTCCACGGATCAGCAACATTCACCATGGGTTTACTGTAGTAACACTACTAACTGTAACCATGGAAGTTCGGCAGGAATAGTAGGCTATAATGCTTTCAAGTAACATCACGTCGGTTTTATTTTGACATTATGAATACAATTGGTGCCCTAAAATGTTAATCTGAACTAAAATAAACCTTTGTTTATAACTACTACCATATCACATTTCATTTTGTCCAAGGAGCTGTTTAGTTTTATATGCTCCTAAGAAAAGTCAAGTATAGCTCCATCATTGCTTTAAGTTAAAAAATATCATACTTTATTATGTTAGTTTTAATAAAAATATATTTTAAAAAATTAAATCAAGGAAATTTTTGGCATTTCTTTCTTTTTGCAGTATCGGAAACGTACCGAACCGAACCGTGACACACACAAGTGTATCGTATTGAACCGAACCGTGAATTTTGTGAACCGTTACACCCCTAATATATATATATATATATACAGTTTATTCATATATATATATATAAAGAAAAAAAAAGAAAAAATCTCTATATAAATACCTTGATGAGGGAGACCTGCTGTCTGCGACCAGCTAAAGCATTGAGGTTCTGGCTGAGGGTTTGCAGGAAGGCTTTTAGGTCTTTCTGCAGGTTCTGTTTGGCAAAACTCTCGAGTGGTAATGACGGTGGGATGTTATGGCGGGAGATCTGCACGGTGCGCGTCAGATCCAGCTCCATATTATACGTCTCCAAATACACACCCTCAAAAGCTGTGTGAAAAGACACACACACACTTTTCCCTTCCTTACACTCCACCAAATCATAGCCACCTAATAAAAAAATTAAAAAAAACAGAATGTTCGATCAGGCCTAAACAGAAGCATGATCAATCTAGGACTGATCAATATCACCATTAAAACGGGATGTGAATATAATTACCAATTAAGTGATGAGCACGCTGAAGGTCTTTCAACTGCATTTTCCAAGCAGTTAACAAAGACTGCTGCATTTTTATGAGGCCGCCAGCATCATCATCATCATCATGTAAAGGAAGATCTTTGCTGATTTTATCTTTAAGGATCTGCCATACAATGACAATAAGTTTATAGTATATTTACAGTAAGGCCCATTTACACCAAGAATAACTATAAATATAACTATAATAGCATTCACACCATTGCACAATAACCTTGTGTTTGCCATAAGCACAGGCTGCAGTTGTCATCCGCAGTTTTAAAAGTACGAGTGGTTTCTGATTGGCTATCAATGTTGTTATTGTTCATCAGCTTGAAATAATCGTTCTAAAAGTGAATCCAACGATAACGTTTATCTGTGTTGTTTATATCATTACAGTTGTGTGGTGTGGACATCCCTATTATCATAGAATTAGTTATTAAAACCATAATTCAAATTTTAGAGTTCAATTATGACAACTCTCTGAATAGTTTTAGCATGTTATTGAATATTGCAGTGTTAATGTATTAGGTCTTAGCGGACTAGATCTGCTACTGCTGTTGAATATATAGACATACTGTACATAAATCACGTAGCAGATCTAGGCAGGTGGAGCTGCAGGGTTTCAGAAGAACTCTAATGGCAGGACTAGCTTACAGCAAACAAGGAACCAGACCATTTAAATGTTAAGCAAGCAATCTCATTGGCAGCAGGATCCGCAGAGGCCAATCAGATTGAGCCATGCAGTAATGATGTGATTGCTTGCATATTGCATGTAAAGGACGTATCAGCCTGCACCCTCAAGAGTTTCATGGCTGAATCAGATATGCTACTCAGCAGCAACTACATTAAAAACTAGATTTTTACATTTTCAAACAAATATCGAAGAGAAAGTCAGATATTAGATCAATGTCTCTTTACTATTTCAAAGCCGTCTCACCTTGATGGCATCTGTCTGACGTTTGAGTTGATCTCTTTTGGCACGGAGAGTCAGAGCTTTGACCTTGAGCATCTCTAACCTCTCAGACTGATGCTGGTCCTGCTGTCTCATACCTCCTCTCTCTAAAGCCATCAGGTGATTCAGAACACCTGGTATATAACACGACACATAAACACAGGGTGCATTAAAAAACAAGTGAAAATATGCTTACACCACCAGACAAAGGTTAGGATATAGCTACTCATTTTTAGTAGGAATATTTTCCACATTGTAGAATAATTGTCATCAAAATAAAAAGTCATCAAAACTATAATAATAAATAAACATTTTGTAAAAACATTAAAAAAAATCCCCATTAGACTGCTATCGTGTCTCACCTTAGAAATTATATATTTTAATAAGAGAAAATGAAATGAGATTAAAGATCTTTTATGGATTATTATGAAAATTTTTCTGAGAAAAAGTCTGAATAAAGAATATATCTCTTTATGAATTAGATTAAACTGACTGAATTGAATCTTTAAAACAGTTTGATTGTAGAGTTACTTTTAGATTTACTTTTTTTTGTCAATGTATTGACAATAAAGTGAGTTGAGTTGTATACAGTGTCTGCCATATTAATTCCAGGCACGTAAATACACTTAAAAATCAAAACGTCTTTGAGACATCTAGAAAATTATAGAAAAGAAGAATAAATTTAGTCATGCGTGTCCATATGGAACAATATAGTAACACATACAAGCTGTTTTCAAAACGTCTTGATATATGACACATTTAGATGTTAACAAACTGCCTAAGTTTACCGTGCTCCATTGGTTCCATTTGGCTGTCCATAACTCTGTTATTGACGCGCGAATATTTTACTTTTGCTCATTTGTTTCTTTTTAGAATCGAATGTTTGGAATTCTGGCGCGCTGTTGTGTCACGTGCGACCTCGGAAGCTAAAACACAAACCGCGCTCCAGAGCATCATCACTGCGCGCTGTTTGCGCAGCCAGCCACGTAATCTGGGTTCTTTATTTTTCCCCACGTGGATACATTTTTTTTTTTATTATAATGCGCATATTATTATTTCATATCAATTTTATATCGAAAAAGAAAAAAACAGCTGCATATGTGTGTGGTGGGAAACACGGTAACTATCACTGCGGTTATTTCGAGATCGTAAATTGTAAGGTGCACAGGTGTTTGACTGTGACAAAGTGGCTCAGTCAGTCAGTAACCGTGATGGTAACTGTAACACTAGGAGGAGTACATTAGTGCAACACTGACAGTTATTCACTGTCTGCCCCCCGGATGACACATGATTCTGAAGGGAATGAAGCTCCATCTGATCTGATTGAATACTTTAGGTAAGAACCGGTAAGAACACCTGCATGTGGAGCAAACATGTAACGCTCTGCGCGCGCACTAGTTGTGCTTGTGTTGATGAGGAACACCGCATGCACCCAACAACTAACTAACCATAACAAGGAAGTGAAATTGCATTCAACTAACTAATGTTAGGGATAACTGGGTAGATAATTCAGTAAATGCTAATATATTTACACTTTCACATGAATTATGGTCCTAGGGAGTGCATTTGGGGTAAAGTTGAAATTGCAATCTAGTGGCGTACTTGTCTCTGTGCGGACTAGTTACAAGTGCCAGGAACGGTTAACCCTGCAGTGCCTGGTAGGGAAGTGTTCTCCATCCTTCATTAACCTCTTGGACTCCTAAAAAAACACGCTAATACCATCGTACTGTGATATGGTACTTTAAAATGACCGTACTCATGTACCTCTTTAGAGTATTACTGTTGGGTTCTGGAAGTAAAATGGTAACACTTTACAATACGGGTGCACTAATAAGCATTAATTCATGTTTAACTAATGCACATATAGTCATGAGTTAATGTATGACTCATGAAGGACTAAACCATTAATTAATTATTACTGCATCAGCAACTAATAAAGAGTCTATATGATTAATAGATTAAGTAATACATGAATTGCTATTAATTAAACGTGTCATCATGTTATTATTCCTTAATAACATATTTTATTAACTAATAGTGTAAATTAATATGTTAATTACCACAATTAGTCAACGCTATGCACTTCAACTTCCAGTTGTCTGCTTTAATTAATCATTAGCAGATTTGCAAATCTATCATTATGTTATGACTTTACTTGTTGAGGCACATGACTATTAACTAATTGTTAAGTAATATGTCATTTTGGTTTTGACATCCACACTATGGATTTCAATTTCCCGCCTTCTACAACCGGGATTCGACTGTGCCAGATGAACCGCCGCATCCAATAGTTCATGGCACAGGAGTGTGTCAGGTTAAAACTTGAGCTCTAGGATTTAAAGGAAGAACACTGAGAATATGCGGCCGGGCTCTGCTATTCCATAACACCGTGTCTAGACCGGACAAAGAAACTAGAATCCATTATAATCAGTGATACAACACTGGATGCGACACAATGCTACACGGCACAACAAAACCCAGACAGTAAACTGATGCCTCACTCTATTTCTGACACGGTGTAACAGCGTCAGTATTTCAGATTCTGGTGTGCTGATATTTGTGTGCGGCCCAACTTACCCATCCTTCAAACACTCTCTGACATTACACTCACTGCATGTGCAACTGCCCCACAGACCTTTAGTGGGGATGACAAAACCCATAACCATAATGACATATTACTTAACAATAGTTAATAGTCATGTGCCTCAACAAGTAAAGTCATAACATAATTATACCTTTGCAAATCATTAGCTAATGATTAATTAAAGCAGACAACTGGAAGTTGATGTGCATAGCGTTGACTAATTGTGGTAATTAACACATTCATTTACACTATTAGTTAATAAAATATGTTATTAAGGAATTAATACATGATGACATGTTTAATTAATAGCAATTAATTTATTACTTAATCTATTAATCATATAGACTCTTTATTAGTTGCTGATGCAGTAATAATTAATTAATGGTTTAGTTCTTCATGAGTCATACATTAACTCATGATTATCTGTGCATTAGTTAAGTATTAGTGCACCCGTATTGTAAAGTGTTAGCGTAAAATTTATATTTTCTCTGTATCTAATTTGATATTTACATTCATACATACATCATGCATACAGTACATAGGGTACATACATACATATATGTAGTTTAAATCTTTCTTGACAGTCTCACTTCGAGATCTGAGGTTGTTAAATGATGTTATACACCTGCATTTAAGCAATTAATCTGTGTAATTTTAACATTAAAAAAAAGATAATAATTGCTGATTTTTGCAATATAGCACATATTTGAATTGAGATCAACCAATCAGACAAAGTAGGCTACTGTAGACATGGTATTTAAAATAAATATTATTGATGCTAATTCAGGTCACAATTCACAGTACTTCACGGGATGCTCCTGAAGTCATTATTTTATTATTTTATTTATGTGACATTTCCAAGGGAAGAGGATATTCAATGAGTTAAAATGGAGGCTGGGATGTGATTTTAATAAATGGGAATTGATTGGATGTGAAAAATGTGTTTCTATACTACTTATTGGTTGAAATGTAACTAAGGGTTAAAAATAAGAGGAATTGGTGATGGAATTCTGCACAATAATACCAGCTATGTATTATAGAATGGGGTCCTTTTTTGATTTCATGTTGACATTGGGTTAAGTGCACAGTCATATTTCGCCATTTCCAGATTTTTCAAATACTTCCTTGCTTCAATTGAAATGTTGTAATGTTGTGATTCATCTCAGAGCTGCTTGGTTTGATTCAAGGCATCTATCCAAAAACGCCTTGAACTAAGGCCGCTAAAAAGTGGGCAGTTACTGTGCTGTGGTATAGTAGTACTTTCTTAAAGTCACAATGAAAACGAAGTAGAGACACAGATGTAACTTGCATCCGAGATTATCGAAAAGGAAAAATGTATAGCGGGAACTTGATTCTAAGCATGGATTTTGAGATGTGGGCGTGGCACTCAAAAGCAGAGGCAGATAAACGTGAACTTGCAGGGCGAGTTTTAAGCGGACTAAATGATAAGAGAAGACCTGCAAACGTCACCAGAGAGAAGTCTGAAGTCTTGACTAGAAGTAAAAGAAAAACGAAATGAAAAAGACCTGTAACATGCATTTGTAAAATAGATAGACGTGAATTTTCATTTAATGCCATCTTTAGGCAGACTAAATGATTGCAAAAGTTTTCATCAGAAGGTCTATGAATTGACAATAAATTATAATTATAAAAAAAAGTTTTTAAAAAAGTAAAAAATGAAACATATATACATGGATGAATTGTTCACATTAAGATCTGTAACATGCATTTGGAAAATAGATTATTAAAAATGATGAGGTAAAATGTTTTAAGTATGAAATGTTCACCATACACATGACATGCATTTGAAAAATAGATGCCAACTTTAAAGGTGCTCTATGTAACTTTTCTACTAAAATGAATCCTTTTTTTATTGCCTGTGTGTGAAGGGGTTGTAATCACACATTAAAATGATCCACTTGTTGAGTTTTGCTATTACCTCTGAAGGCCAGTATTCCTATTTCTATGTGAAGTCTCCGGGTCGGATTTACCGCGAAATCCAACGGATGTGACGTGCATGCGTGCTCCCGAGCCTCTCTCCTTATATACAGTCTATTGTAGACGGTCAGGGAGTTACGTCCGGTTAAAGGCGCACGTTTTTCGGCTTATATCTCAGTCAATCTTTGATCAATATTCCCAAGACTCTAATCGTTCGTAGTGCTGGACGGGGCCTTTCGAACGAGCCCACCCCCGAGGTCCAACTCGCCCGGCTCCCCGAGTTATAGCCGTTCGAAATCGGGGGTCCCAGCGAACGGCGATCCGGTAGGGGGCATCCCCGAGGCACGCCACTCTAGCAGTTCGGGCAAGGGTTCCCCTGGGACCTCCTCCCCCGAATTTGAGCTCTCTGGTCTTTGCGTTCCAGAGATACGAACGATTTTCTTCTGAGATCGTGACGTCACCGGCGTCCGCAATTTTGCAGCGCGCCCGATGGTTTTCTGCTAATATCTCCACGAAAACACCACCAAAAACTATGGAACTTATATGGTTCTTTTCAGCTCGACTAGATGGTCCCAACGAGCTCGGTGCTCGCCGAATCCGTCTAGTATTCGCCGAGATATTTGCGTAATAGACGGTATTGTCTATGAGTTCGAGCATGAGCGCTCTTGTAAAATTTGGTTGCAATCTGAAACATCACCACTAGATGCCGCTAAAAGTTACATAGAGCACCTTTAAATGTCAACATACTATCATAACATGAAATCCTAACCTGATTGAGTAAGTACTGAATGTTCACTGAATGTATCAGTGTGTGTGTGACATGTTTCAGGTCGTCATCAGATTTGCTGGCCGATGGCTTTGACCTTTCTCCTGATCACGGAGCAGAGACTTTAATATCACGCTTCATGCCTGCAGTCTCAGTATGGATCCATCGGCACCCAAGTACTTCACTATTATTGATTATGTGATATTTGCGTTGCTGTTGGTGGCCTCCATGTCCATCGGGCTGTACTACGCCTTCACCGGAGGACGCCAGAGCACCACGCGAGAGTTTCTGTTCGCAGACAGGAGTATGAAGTGCCTGCCGCTCTCTCTGTCTCTCATGGCCACCTTCCAGTCGGCTGTGGCCGTCATTGGCACGCCGGCTGAAGTCTACACCAATGGCACGCAGTACTGGTTCATTGGCTGCTCTTATATTCTGGGTCTCCTGATACCAGCACACATTTTCATTCCTGTGTTCTACAGACTGCATCTCACCAGTGTTTATCAGGTACACATATTATTACAGATATTATTTAGAGACCACCCTAGTAACCCCATAACAACACTGTTCTTTTGTCATTGATGCCTTTATTAAACACGTCTCATTCGCCTGCAGTATTTGGAGCTGCGCTTCTGTAAAGCCGTCCGTATATGTGGCACCGTTACATTTATTTTTCAGATGGTAAGCTTTAGCCTCTCTGTTGTGAAATAAAGTTTCCATTTTTGCATATTTAATGCATTCAATGGCTCTTTTGGAGAGAGTTACTGTGTGGGTCTTTTTTGCAGGTCATTTATGTGGGTGTTGGCATCTATACACCGGCTCTTGCACTTAATGCAGGTAATGTTGCAACACATTTCCGATAAATATTAACATTATATTAATATATAAATGTCTCTGCTTTGACATATGTCTGTCTCTAGTTACTGGTTTTCATTTATGGGGAGCAGTACTGGCAACTGGGTTAGTCTGCACTCTATATACGACACTGGTAAGATCCTTTTTTTAAGTTATTTAAGGGCAACACGATATGAACTTTACCAAATTGAAAACTTGACTTGAAAAAATGTCTGTCTTTGTAAACTTTCATCAGCTTGCGCTGCATCTAAACATTTATTTGTCAATCCATTTCTATTTGCTAGTTTGTTTTCAGTGTCTGAAAGAAGTTGTAATGATTTTTGCACGTTTGTCCTCCTGGTAGGGTGGGCTGAAGGCAGTGGTGTGGACCGATGTTTTCCAGACAGTAGTCATGTTTACTGGTCAGCTGGCCGTCATCATTGTGGGCGTTCAGCAGGCTGGTGGTCTGTCCGAGGCCTGGGTTAAAGTCAGAGACGGTGGACGCATCTCTGGCTTCGAGTAAGTTCACTTGAACTGGTTTGGTGTGGCTGGCATTGCACAATTAACCACAAGGTTGCTCCAGAGCGAGTCACTTTGGATAAACGCATCTATTTAATCAGGGGAAGCCAGGGCCCCCTAAATATGACGATGATCCCCTTTTGAGGTTAGGCCCTCCTTTTAATATTTACTTTGTGTTAAGTTGGCAGTTAACCTTTTTTTTTATTATTATTAAAGGGATAGTTCACCATTCTGTCATCATTTACAGCCATTTCACCCTGTAGCCCAAGACTGGCTGCCCATTGAAGCTAAGCAAAGCTGGTCAGTCCCTGGGTGGGAGACGTCCTGGGAAAACCAGGTTGCTGCTGGAAGAGGCGTTAGTGAGGCCAGTAGGGGGTGCTCACCCTGTGGTCTGTGTGGGTCCTAATGCCCAGTATAGTGACGGGTACAATATATCGTAACAAGCACCGTCATTCGGATGAGACGTTAAACCTGACTCTGTGTGCCATGGCACTTCTCGTAAAAGAGTAGTGGTGTAACCCTGGTGTCCTGGCCAAATTCCCTCCATTTGGCCCTTATCAGTCATGGCCTCCTCATCACCCCCATCCACTGAATTGGCTCGATCACTATAGCTGGTGTGTGGTGAGCGCACTGGCGCCTTTGTACTGTGGCTGCCGTCACATCATCCGGGATGCTGCAAACAGCTGGTGGTTGAGGAGAGAACCCTGACATGATTGTAAAGGGCTTTGAGTGTACAGTAGTACATTTGAAAGTGCTTTATAAATGCTTCATTCGTTCATTTACTCACCCTCAAGTTGTTCCAAACCTGTATGAATGCCTTTCGTCTGCTGAACACAAAGGAAGATATTTTGAAGAATGTTGGGAACCAAACACTCGATGGACCCCATTGACTTCCATAATATATATATTTTTCCATACTGTGGAAGTCAATGGGGTCCATCAACTGTCTGGTTACCCATATTCTTCAAAATGTCTTCTTTAGTGTTCAGCAGAAGAGAGAAATTCATACAGGTTTGGAACAACTTCAAAATCCTCAAATCCTAAGTATTAAATCTAGACATGGAACTCATCCTGTACTGTTTGTGCTACAGACATGAATGATATTGTGTTGATACTCAAAAGTCATTTCTACAGATGACTGACTCTTGTCTGTTCAGCCTGAATCCTGACCCAACGGTGAGACACACGTTCTGGACGTTAGGTGTTGGAGGAGTGTTCCTGATGCTGTCTCTCTATGGAGTGAACCAGGCTCAGGTTCAGAGGTACCTCAGTTCTCGTACGGAGAAAGAAGCCGTCATGTAAGTGCTCCTTTTACCAGACCTCAAAGACTCTCAGATGAACTTTAGAGCTGTTCTTATGTGTCACAATTCTCGTGCAGGTCCTGCTATATGGTGTTTCCGTGTCTTCAGGTGGCTTTAATGCTCAGTTGTCTCATGGGGCTGGTCATGTACGCCTGCTACGGTAACAACAGCCCTTTGGAACAGCAGTACATCACATCCAAAGACCAGGTTAGCAGCACCAAACTAGTACCACATTTGCAATTGCATATATAGCTCCTGAATGGAATTGTGAATTTCTATGGTGTTCTTTGACTTTATAGATGGTGCTCTACTTTGTCATGGACATGTTACAAAACTTCCCTGGACTTCCTGGATTGTTTGTGGCGTGTTTGTTCAGTGCATCTCTCAGGTAACCGCCCGATGATTGAAGCAATCATATTTCTCAAATCATATTTAAGTAAAAGAAAAATGACTATTATAGTAAGAATCTAATGGAAATGTTCAATGAGAATGATTTTGAATAATCAAAATGACCCCCCAAAATAATGAAACGCAAAATGATCTGCTAAATACATAAATGTAAATATTAAAATGTAAAAAGCTGAATTTGTTTAGCATCATTACTCCAGTCTTCAGTGTCACATGATCCTTCAGAAATCATTCTAATATGCTGATTTGAGAGTCAAGAAACGGTTGAACTTGAGCTGCTTTATATTTTTCTAGAAAATTATACTTTTTTTCTGAAAATGATTATTTGATGAATAGAAAGTTCAAAAGTACATTTATTTGAAATAGAAATAAATGTCTTTACTGTCACTTTTGATCAGTTTAATTTCTTTCAAATAAAATCGTACTCAAACTTTTAAATGGTAGTGCATATTCATGCAGATCTGCTTTGTTTACTTTTGTCTCTATAATAAACTTACATTCTGCAGAGATACAGATAAAGACAGTAGTCGGTGCACAAGCATGCTTCAAAAATTTAAAAAGTACTTTATTTGTAAAATAAAACGAAGATGTTCTCATTCTCATTCACAGTACAATATCCTCAGCGTTGAACTCACTGGCCACGGTGACCATAATGGATCTGATCAAACCCCATTACTCAATGACGGAGGCCAGAGCCACTCGGCTCTCAAAGATGCTGGGTGAGACATTATCTTGAATGTGTATCTCTTCATTTGAAATGATCTCCATCTTCCCACTGATGCACAATGATAGAATGTTTTGCTCAAAGCGATCAAATGAAGCTTTCAGTGAGCATGATTATAATGGATGATTATATTCCTCATCCAGCCGTATCATATGGGATTATATGTCTGGCTATGGCTTATGTCGTCCATTTGATGAACAGTTCAGTTCTTCAGGTAAGCATGCATGCTTTTATAAGGGCTGATGAATTATTGGTGTAATCAGCTTATTTTAAGAAATCAAAAATATATCCTGTCTGTGTAAATTTAAAAAAAAAAACATTCATTCTTATTAAAGTTACAAAAGTGATTCAGTCAAGAGCAGTGAGAGAGATTTTCTCTATTTTGTTGTTTGATTAACATTAATGACAGACATCAGCAGGTTTATTAGGCTGCTGTCACTTTAAGAACAAATGCATGGATCCAATATACTGTTACACATAACTGACTGTGTTTACTAGGATACTTGCAAAGACGGCATTTTAACACATACAGTAAGTGTGTGTATTTAATCGTTGAAGCCCAATTAGGCGACAAAAATAAACTATTCAGTACTTGCACACTCTATGAGCAGCGGCTTAATGTGTACGCGTCTCTCAGACATCGCTCGGAAACAATCTCACAGCGAGCGCATATAGCGAAATTAGTTCTCTTTCGCTGCTTACTGCGCTTCAACTGTTTAAAATCACTTGTTTTTAAACCAAAATGCTTAACGCACGCAACAACTTTTTATCTCACAATTCGGACTTTTTTCAGAATTGCGAGTTTATAAGTGTTCATCTTGTTAGAATGATTGCTTTGTACACTGTAATGGCTTAATAAAAAGGAGAGATTTTAAACCGGTTTCTTCTCATTTCAATGTTTCATGTTCCCATCTTTATTTATTTAGTGGAAATCTGGGTAATAAGTGATGCATTATCCCTTAAATTTCCTCTTTGTTTGAACTTGTTAATTCGTCTGGCCTGAAAAATCGGCTTGCTTGGAACTACTTCACAGAAACTTTGCGGTTTAGTGAGATGATAAAAGATTCTTAAAAGCAGAATAAAGTACATCCAGTCAGTTGTTATCGCAAAATAAACCAGATAATAGAAGATCCGACACAATCATCCTGTCTTTGTTTGTTTTGCGGTAGCAATCGGCTGGATGTATGTGATCGCTTACTTAACCTCTAGTTGTGTGTTTCACTTTCAGGCTGCTCTCAGTATCTTCGGGATGGTCGGTGGGCCACTGCTCGGCCTGTTCTGTCTCGGCATCTTTTTCCCATGTGCCAATAGCATTGTAAGTTCCTTCTTTCAATTCATCAAACCATCAAACTTCTATAGAAACTTGTTTCCACCACTTTTTTATTAAAAAAAAAAGGTTAATTTTAGCTCACAATTCAAAAGTTTATAACTTGGAATTCTGACTATTTTTCTATTGATTGTGAGTTTCTATTTGCAATTCCGATTATGTAACTCGTGAATCACTTTTTTCTCGCAATTCTGACTTTATAAATCACAATTCCAAGTTTATATCTTGCCATTCTGACTTTTTTCTTGCAATTCGCCTTTGGCTAAGCCCCGCCCCCCTTAGTTACTGTTGCTACGTCCGACAAACAAACTTCATCTGGGCTCTGGTATCAACATGGCTTATGCTGCGACAGCTCTTCCTGCTGAAATTTTATCAAACTTTTATAAAGCAGCAAATAAAGTGTCCGATAGAAGTAGGCAAAAGCGGCTGCAATATACGTTCGAAGGCTATATTCACGACATACAGGCGAAACGCAAGGAACAACAAGGCATCCAAATAGAGCAGTGGTTCTCAACCCTGTCCTGGCGTACCCCCAACACTACACGGTTTCCTTGTCTCCCTAATCAAACACACCTGATTCAACTCATCAGAGCTGATGAGTTGAATCAGGTGTGTTTGATTAGGGAGACAAGGAAACCGTGTAGTGTTGGGGGTACGCCAGGACAGGGTTGAGAACCACTGAAATAGAGGCAAAAGCATACCGGTCACAGTCAAAAAATGACCCACCGCATATCCTACTAATCGAGACGGAGGCTGGGACTAACAATATCAAGGAGCAACACTGTTCATGCAAAGCTGGGTAGGTCTCTATTCACTTCTATAATCGTTATTACAAAGCAAACGGACTACGCGAGTATAACGTTGTATTTATTAGCAGCGTGTGCTAGACGACACTTGTCAGGATTTGACTTCGGGTTTGGGAAGGGGAAAAAATGCACACCCCCCTCCAACCTCTCTGGGAAACGCGTATCTGTGTTACAAATGCCCCAGGAACAACGTTTAACCATATTTTCGATAAAACTACGACGGTAATAGCCTGCCGAAACCAAAAATATGAGACGCCTGTGTTAAAGTCAATGGAGCGCTGTGAAAAAGTGTCGGACCACTGACTGTGGGAGCTCGTTCTTGGCTGCGCTGTGATTGGTCAATCTACATTCTAGGGTGTGGCTTAGCCAAAGGCGAATTGAGTTTTTAACTCACAATTTTGACTTTTTTCCCCGCAATTCCGAGTTTAGCTATACGCTCGGAATTGCTAGAATTATGAGAGAAGATGTCATTAATTATCTTTTTATTTTTTTATCCAGTGGTGGAAATAAGTTTAAATCATTTTGAACATAAATAAGGATGTTTTCTCTGTGTCATTCAGGGAGCTGTAATAGGACTTGCTGCAGGTCTGCTCATTGCTTTCTGGGTTGGCATTGGTGGCTTTTTGTCTCGGATGTCCAGTTCTGTAGTTCCTCCATTCAACTCTTCTAACACAGAAGCAGCCGTCCCTGACAACATCACCATCACAGCCGTGACTGCCCTCATAGATGCTGCCAGGTGACTTGTAGATCAGTACCATGCAGTGTAATGTAGATGCATCTATAGAGGGAAAGAATTCTAATGCTTTTTCTGTTTTTCTGCAGACCTGTAGGGCTGCAAGGCTTCTACTCTCTGTCGTACATGTGGTACAGTGCGCTCAACTCCTCCACTGTGGTGCTTATCGGACTCATTATCAGCTTCATGACAGGTGAGAAACATTCACCTCAAGAGCTTCTGATAGTATTAATACAGCGTGAATTAGCGTCTGGTTTAAGACATGCTTTTTTGGGGGGGTGTTAAATAATGGCGCAAATACCACTAACTTGATTAGCGCAAACCTTAGTAAATCCCCTTGCATGATTGATTTAAATACTCTCCTCCTATAAATTTTAGTCTGAAAGTGAAACTCCTACAAATGCATATGCAATAAGATCAGTCACAAAAATAACCCTAGCCAGGCCTTTTCAGAGCAAATTTTTCATTGCGTGTATTTAGTAAATCTTGACAGAAGTTTGCAGGGTTTGCACTGGCGCAAGCTGTTAGTATATCTGGCCTTTAGTCTTGTGGATGAGATTTTCAATGGAGAAATCACACGCTTGGACTCGGAAAGGCCTAGCAACCACTCCGTAGCAACCAGTGTTGTTATGGTTAACTAAAACTAAACTATTAAAAATAGTGTAAATTGAAATAAAGTGCGTAACACTTTACAATAAGGTCTCATTAGTTAACATTAGTAAATGCATTAACTAACATGAACTAATAATAGGCAATATATTTTTAATACAGTTTATATTAATGTTAGTAAAGGTTAGTAAAAATATAGCTGTTCATTGTTTGTTCATGTCAGTCCATAGTGCATTAAGTAATGTTAGTAAATACAACTTTTGATTAGTAAAAGTAAAAAAAATAACATGGACTAATATTAATAAATTATGTAGAATTATTGTTGTTCAATTTTAGTTAATGTTAACAAATTAAACCTTATTGTAAAGTATTAGCATAAAGCTGAAATAAAAACATGAATAAAAATGAATAAAACATAAATATTAAGAAAAACTTCAACTAACTGGAAAAAAAAAAAAGTTGAAGTTGTAAAATGACTAAAACTAAAACTAGAAATATAAAAAAAAACCTGACAAATAAAAGTGACAAAAGAACACAATTGCTAAAATTAAAATAGAAAATATAAAAATAAAATCTAATTCAAATGTTAAAATACTATAAATAAAACTAAAATAACACTGATAAATAAAAACCGTGGCAACCATCTGCAACACCCTCGCATTGTTGTGTTGAGTGTTACAATGGGCAAGCACCATTCACATCTTCAGAAAATGTAGATATACAGTTTTATTATTTATATATGGAAAACATTTTCTACTGCAAGGCCGAACAAAAGGAGACGATGTGGCGTCTGGCACAGTGTATCCGGTGGTGAGAACCGCACGATCTCTTCTGTACAAGCTTGTGGAGCCGAGCACTTGCTGCGCGTCCCATCCTCAACACAAGGTAAGATCCCATCCTCAACACAACTGTGACTATACAATAAAATGCCTTGTTGATTTGGGTGATTTTACTGTAGTAAAACTGCTTCTGGCAGATTGATGGTCATAAAGAAATAAATGGGAACATAAAGGAGGATGCTGGAACACAGGAAGAGACGGCAACATTTCTCCCGTCAAACCCAGTGTCTCGTGTGGAGCAAGAGACCTCTGTGTGAAAAAATGTCATAAGTGCTCAGGGTTAGCCTGCACTCTAGTGATAAGTACTGTAAATATTTTGTATATTGATGGTGTCGGTCATGCTAATTACAGAGATGTGTAAAAGTTCAGTTTGACTGTAATTATGTTGGAGAGAGAATTGTGCCTGGGTGTACATTTTTATAATGGACTGTATATTTCTGCCACGTTTGTATTCTTTTGTATGTGTAGCTACTGTATACAAAACCACTGAAAGCTGTTTTTACAGCATGCACTAAAATGTTAATATCTGTAAAGATGTAAAGTATAAATGCAATGTTCTGCAAATCAGCTTTTCTAATAAAACATGTGTGCATTATGTGCTGCTGCTGCTGTGGGTGAATCTCTTCGGTCTGCCTCATATTTCACCCTGAAATAAAAATAGGACAATTAGCATTTTTTCCCATTGTGATATTAAAGGGATAGTTCACTTTGCAATTAATTTTTGGTATGTTTTAGCTTACCTCAAGGGCATCCAAGATGTAGGTGTCTTTGTTTCCGCAGTAGTTTCAATTTTGATATTTTTAGGTCAAACCGTTCTTGTCTGTCAGTCATATAATGACGCACGTGTACGTCACTCATTGTTTACACAGAACAGAGATTGTATGTAAGACGGCTAATTAAAATGGTGCTAATTTGTGCTTATCCGGGATGTTTAAACCGTCGTAAAAGAAAACAATAAAAAAAATAAAACAATTGTATGAGTGACGTACACGCGCGAGAGATCACTTCCGGCACTTGCCGGAAAAGACCGAAGCGCCGGCGCCCTCAGATCACTTAGACGTGGCTGTGTTTACAAGAGGTAAAAACGATATAAATACTGTTCGTTTTCTCACACAAACCGCTCGTTTCGTGTCTTAGCCCATCAATGTGTACTTACATTTATGAGTCATTAAATCATGTTTAATTTGGACTTCTCTGTGCATGCTCTTTGAGGTGGTGACCATAGACCTGCATTATATGACTGACAGACAAAAACGGTTTGACCTAAAAATATCAAACTACTGCGGAAACAAAGACACCTACATCTTGGATGCTCTTGAGGTAAGCTAAAACATATCAACAATTAATTTCAAAGCGAACTATCCCTTTAAAATACAAATAAACAACACAATCAAAATAATACATTTTTGTTTTCATATTACAGGAATGAAAATTTGATTTTTTTTTCATGTTACGGTAATGGGAATTGTGGAAGAAAATGTGTTTAATTATCGTCAAAATAAACTAAGCCTAATTGATGGATTGTGTATCTTTTTATTTCTTGAACAAGCATGTTGGAAGACACATCATGGCCATATTCCAGGATGACAATGTCAAGATTCATCAGACTCACACTGTGAAAGAAAGGTTGGGAAGGAGCATGAAGGATCATTTTCACACATGAATTGGTGGAAATAACATCACAGCATTTATTTCCATCAAGAGGTGCATCAATCTTTGGTCAAGATCTTGTATTGAGAATGCAAGAGTCCAGCACTCTGTAAAGTCTCCTCCAGCACATCCCAAAGACTTTCAATGAATTTAAGGATTCGGAGGTGCCGATTCATGTGTGAAAATGATTCTTCATGCTCCTCCCAACCATTCTTTCACAGTTTGAGCCAGATGAATCTTGACATTGTCATCCTGGAATATGGCCATGATGTGTCTTCCTACATGCTTGTTTAAGAAATGAGAAGCTACACACTCCATCAATTAGGGTTAGAAGATGAATTCTTTAAATTCAAGCGACTTTATTTTGGTTGGACAAAGTATATGCATTATATCTAATTTTATCTTAAAACGAATGCAAGTATCTTCCCAATTTCAAGCCTCTGCATTGTCATTGTTTTGTTTCTTCTTACTTACATGTGACCAGCAGATGTCTCCAGTCAGTGTGTAAAATCCAGAAAGGCCCCACATGTCCCTAACACTGCACTGTAACAATGAAAAGATACCCGAGGAACCATTTGGGGTTTCTTCAATTGCTACACCGGTGAAACCTCTAGACCCATTTTGAAGAAAGACAGAAATGGAAAAGTTCCCATAACATCTCTGAAGACAGAACTCTGAATCAAAGTGAAAATAGAAGGAAAATGCAGTGGTTTATTAAAGCAGATTGTAGGTTTCATGGTCAGATGCAACTTTATAAACAGACAAATGTCATGCTGACATTTCAGAATGCCATTTCTTGGCTAAATGTCAGTTCTCTTACTGAAGTACGGAGAGCTGACGGTGGCAGGCCAAAGACTCTGTGAATCACATGATAGCCATCAGGAGGGAACTTCCTGTTAAATGAAGATTTCAGCAGCACTTTCTTGTCCAACAACAGTCTTAGAATTGAAGGTTCAAAAGGCGTTTTTTGCAGCGATGCCATTGAAGAACCATTTTTGGTTCCCCAAAGAACCTTCCGTGGAACTGTTCAAAAAGAACCATTTTTTCTTGGTGTGTATCTTTTTTCCACTACCAAGAACCTTTTGTGCAATGGCAAGGTTCTTCATGTTCACCATATAGAGAGCCGATAAAGAATCTTTATTTTTAAGAGTGAATGTTGCCTATATAGGGAACAGAATATGATACTGACTTAAAGACGCAGCAACCACAGGTCAGAGCCTTTTCATTTCAACCTTTAATCATTTTTTATTACTATGCTATTTAAAATGTGTACTTAATTTGCAGTGTACACTCACATGGCACCATAAACTAGTCAAAGCAGAAGATACAGTGACAGTAACAGCCTGAGTCTTCACAGCATATTGTTCCCTTCATTCAGGTAAGATTGTTTCTTGTGTTTCTCAGATAGATTTGCATTGTAAAATAGATGCATGTTGTAATGATGCTGTTTTGCATGAACAAGCTTACTGGGAAGCCATTTTTAAAGTACGAGAAAAAACAACAACATCCTCACAGCATTTTCTTGGCTATTTAAGGGATTAAGACAAAGCACTTTCTCTTAATCCGTTAAACAGCATAAGGAAAATAGCATCTGCATTTACATAATGTTTCAGAGTGCCGACTACTGTAGACATAGTGTTTATTCTGGATCATCCCAGAGCTTTTCCTTGCCAATTCCTGTTTCCTCACTGGGGCTTGAGTCTTTGTACTGCTGCTTTATAACACACCTGTATGGATTATGAAAAACATTAAACAAATAAATTGAACTGACATCTGCCCCAAAGTAACCAGACCACCACAGGAACACTTATGATCTCTAACTTCTCCTTAGTTGTTTAAGTCAGCTTAAAATCAAAATTTACCCTATTTATTTTCTCAATACGTGTATTGCATCGGTGCGTGCATTTTTTTTTTTATATACATTACGTACATAATGAAATGAATCGCTACTAAAACTAAGCATGAAACATTTCTGCCTTGTCAGTTTTTAAACCAGGGTTTCACAAATTGCAGAGGGGGTTGTAAAAGTAAAAAACAAAAGCTAATCATTAATTAAATCATAAAAAAGCTAATCATTCAATTTAAATCAATGTAAAAAAAAAAAAAAAAAAAAATTGTTTGTTTACCTGCATGTCATGTGACCATTAACTGACATCAGAGAACCGTGAACATGTGAATGTGTCTTTAAATTATTTAAATAGTAACTTAAGCAACAGTTAATATTTCAGAACTGTAAATAATTTGGCCAACAAAATTTTTTGGAAAAATAAATAATTTAGGTAGCTTGAGTTTGGCACAAACTAATAAACTAACAAACACATTGAATATGCACCACTAAAGCAACAGTAAGAAGCATGTATCTGCCTATAGTTTATTGTTGTAAACCGTTATCACAAAAAAAAGCATAAAATGCCACGAGAAGCAAAAATTTTATTTCATAAAAATTATGAGGGAATGCAAAGTAAGATGCAAATACAGTTGTGCTATTTTGAGCAGTTTTCGTGAGCAGCGATTGTATCTTTTGTTTATATAGCCTACTGTAAATGAATGAGCCTGCTGTTGACCGGGTCTGTTTCCTTGAGGATTGATTCCCCCAAACAACTGAATTTTACTGATATTCAAACTAGTATCTCATGGACTGTTATTTTGCAAAATTCTGTGGTGATCAGTGAATTTTTTCTTCTTCTTAATTTTAGAGCTTTGACACAATGTTTCAATCAATCAACAAACAAACGAACAAACTTTTGACCAAAAGGCTTAACGAGCTTTGTACACAATACCAAATAGTGCCTGCATACTGTATGAAAATTGAGTTGGACATTTTTGTATTTTTTTTTTAATGGTTTTGATGACTTCACCGTTATTCCCAAGTGTTGGAAAATGGTGTAAAGAAAGTAAATGATTCGATGTGTCCAAACTTTTCTTTCCTCAACTTTTGTAGCCAAAGAACCGAACCAAACCAGGTTAGAAAACGAAACCAGCAGGAATGTTTTTCAAAATAACTAGCTAGACCAGATAAAAGTTTATTACATGAACATGAGGTGTAAATATTGCATGTTAGCAAAATAAATGCAAATAAAGAATGCTGTACTGGAGATATGAGATAAGCAGAATCATTTGTGGGTTTCGCAGGGCAGAATTTTGTCTTTGCTAAATAAAAAATTTACATTCTAACAAATCAGATGACGTGAATGACCAGGAAGTCCACGGTTTTACTCCCTGAGAACGAAAAATGCAAATAAAGAAAGCAATATGTCAGTATAGTAAGAAAATGTGAGTGGTGTTTGCACATGAAAAAAAAAAAACTAAAAAAACTGTTCTCTTACATCAGGAGGTTTACTTCTATCAAAAAAAATATTACAGTAGTGTTCTATTGCATATGTCCCACCTTAGGACCCAAGCAATCCGATTGGTTCTGAGCTATAGATTGTGAAATTAAACATTTCTGTTCTTAGTGTTTTTTTAGTTAGCTTACATATACAATTCAATTACACAATAGCTGTCTGTCTTTCTGTAAAGCTGTGTGTACTGTGAAAAGCGCTATGCAAATAAACATATTACTTGATGGTAGAAAATTACTAAACTAAGTTACCTGCTTAAAATGTTTTACAAACTGTTTTTATCTTATCTTGTGCATAGCAGCAGGGTTTAGCTGTAGGGATGCATAGCAGCGGGATTTAGCATGCTACAGTAACATAAAGCTAAAACCGCTCACGTTAGCTACAACAAGTTATCATGAGAACAGCTTTAGATCAAGCATTCTACAGGGGTCCAAAGCTGGGACTCATCTCTATGGTGGGACCCATCTCTTCACCGCACCTGTGCGCACAGAATGTTGTTAAAAACGTAAGACGTAGGTCAGTAGAACGAAAAAAGCGCAAGATCTAGACACTTTTTTTTTTTTTTTTTAAGTTGAACTTGTTTTAAGTCAAGTCAAGTCAAGTC